GCACTGGGACCCTCAAAAATGCATGGGACCCTAATATGATCAGACAGTGAGATCTCATGACCCAGATTGAACAAAATTCTAGTTCAGATCCTGGTAGAGTACCATAAGCACAYAGACGCATCCCCATWGTATCAGATCATGATAACCTGGTAGGTTGGCATGTACTCAAGGTTCTGCCTCTCACCCACGTAGTTCAAGCTTGGGGCTGTGGTTCRATTCTTGACTGACCTGTGTTATGTAAGTTGAGTTTGTTGTTCTCTCTTTAATATAAGGATATTTCTATGGATTGTCCAGTCTTTTGCTCTTCATTAACAAGCAGRATTTTATGCACTGGTAGATGTGAGCATTTAAACAGCACAACACTGAATTTTTCACCCACTGAAAGCCTATTTACAAGTCCAATTTGTGCTGTGATTGAGGTGTGATGTTTGCACCAATTAAATTTTGAAAATATAATATGATTTTGTCTCATGCTTCTAAAGAGACATTTGTCYAGGTAATCTCAGCATCCAGAATATATCTTTATGAGTTAATCCTTTACCATTTGACCATGACCAAAATCACAACAAAAATGGCACTTCAAATCACTGCAAAAATAGCAATGTAGTAAAATATTTCATTATGGGAAGCATCCTTTAACCCTTACCTGCTGAATATCTTGGACACATTGTGTGAATGGCAATAGACTGTGTGGAATATGGTCGAAAATGCAAGGCAGAGGATTGCTCCAGTAAAAAATGCTCCAAATACAAGTTTTTCAGACCAATCACTGGGGAATGGGTTAGCTGGTGAAATGGGTCGAAGATAGAAGTATAAAAGCAATGCAATAAATAGCAAGCATCCTAAAAGATGCGTCCAAATATTGCCAGTCTCTGTGTGGATTTTGAAAATGCTCTTGAAACAGGACTTGAAGGAGGCAAAAGGTGGGCGATGACTATCAGAAAGATATTCATTGTCCCTTAGCCAGTGTGGTAGTTCCATGTGGGATATCAAGTACCATCCAGAGCGACCAGCTTCAATCATAGCTTTCCTAAGCTTGTCAGCTCCTTCACCAGCTTCATGCATRGTCTCAGAGACATTATCTTTGACATTTCTATACATGACATGGATCTTGTCCGATGTATTCTGAAAACTGTCCTGCACTTTTCCAGAAGCCTCACCAATGTTAGTTCTCAACTTCTCTGTTGTTTCAGAGACATTTTCCTTGACATTTTTGTACATAACGTGTACTTTTTCACTGGTATTTTGTAGACTGTCCTGGACTCTTTCTGATGCTTCATTGATATTGGCCTTGAACTTTTTGGCTGCATCTTGGACGTTGTCTTTTACTGCTTTAACAAAAACTTGGATGTTTTCATCTCCTTTGAGGATGAGAACCTGAAACAACAGAAATCATAAATGTTAAGAGGTTGAATYAAGTGTCAAGCCTGGATACAACAGTTGGTAATAATTATCAGGTAATTCTGAGGTTAGATTGGCACTTTCTTACCACTGTTTCCATTGCTATACGCTGATCGAGACAACAGTTGCAACGGGGAAATTGGGCATGAGTATGTCAAGGTACCAAACAATTTATTTGATTGACGGCGGTTTATTGCCCATTTTCCCTGTCATAGCTGTTGTCTTAATCAGCACTAGCAATGAAAACAGAGGTTAATATTGCCCTCAATCAACACTTTGTAACAGGTATTTCTAAAAGTTTAATTGTCAAACACACATTTTCAAAATTAATTGATTCACATAACAAGCAAATATTTGGGATACCTGGTTTGAGTAATCACATTTACAGTGGATTAAYAATAATAATAATAATAAATTATGATTTATATAGCRCTARTATCCCCATGSTTCAACAGYGCTTTCCAAAAAGRTCTGATAAAACATATAAAAATATAACTATATGGTATTTAGTRTGRTTTAGTGGTGTACATTAAAATCTTTAAACGATAATTAGAAACAACTTTWTAAAATACRTACATATTTGATAGRCAATATTTGGTTTTAGTCATTAGTTTTTTGATTGATGAAAGCCAAAAGGAATTTTTGGTTGGTGTTCAGGTAGCCAAAAGGAATTTTTGGTTGGTGTCCAGGTTACATGTTTTAGTAGAGGGCTTCAGCTTGACCAGACAAGCCATATTTCAAGCGCAAAAATCTGGTAATGGTGCACGTGGGCGCACAAACAGTTGGATTTAACGTCTTGCTAAAAACCCAAAACTTCTTATTAATTTAAATAATTCCTATTTATACATAATAATAATAATAATYTAATCCTTAAAACAACGCATACAACAAAGTCTTGATGCTCTTTAAAAAAGTTTAAAATATATAAATATAAATATATGCTAAATAGATATGTACAAAGTGTATTAACAAAAAAAAAAAAAATGCATAAGAATATGATATGAATAAAATAGAAAAATTTAAATAATTGTAGTTTATAGAAAGAAAGACGTAAAAATCCTCTACACTGTACCAAGTTAAAAATATATCATTTCAAATGAATTGCCCTTTTTCAAATGCTTTGAAAATGTGTTACAGAATTGCATGACAAAATTTGAGTCATAATAACTCTCAAACAAAACATTGAAAATACTATGTACTTATTGACTGAGTGGGAGGGCCATACGGGAAAATATTTGGCTCGAGGTCATGTCGTTACGGACCGAGCGCAGTGAGGTCCGTACAAATGACCGAGAGCCAAATATTTTCCCGTACGGCCCGACCTAACTCAGTCAATAAGCATTTTATCATATGAGCCTCACGAAAATAAAAATAATTAAGAAAAAGAAAGCGCGCGGATTCGAGCAGGGCCGGACGGGTTTTTCCGGCCCGCTTACGTCAACCCGTCCGGCCCCCACCACGTGACTTTTTCCAATGGTTTTATTAGAGCGCGCGAGCAGGGCCGTACGGGTCATATGATAAAAAATTATATTTGAAAGAAAATATAAAAAACAAAATATTTGACAAACAGTTTCATGGAGTGAATACTTTGGATTTTAGTATTTTGATAACATCATGTGAAAGCCAATAATAACTGTCGGGTTCAAAATATAGAAAATAGAATTCAAGGCTAAGACCATGACTTGGGTATTTTAGGAAAATATGACCACAATTATCCTTTGACGTATTAGTTTGAGATAAAAAGTAGTTGATATGACACATATGTTAAAATAGTGCTTTCTGTCAGTGCAATTTATGAACATCCCACAAGTTGTATCACTAGATCTATCTACAAAGCTTTTCGCTGTAGTATCACAGCGTGGGACAATCACAACAGAGCTAGGCTCCAAATTAACATCTAATTAACATACTTCCCATGTACCATTTCCGTCTCAGCTTCTCTGTTCTCTGTTTTTGTGACATCTTTCCAAAGTATTCATCATAAAGACTACATTCAGCTTCCCATTTCAGACCATGTATCTTTTTTTTAATCCAGCAAAAACACTCAAGAAAATATCTTATACCCTGGTGCAGCTTGGCAACATATAGGTCTCCTGAACACAACTAGCCTAGTGCCTTACTTAAACACAAGTTTTCTACAAGCGCACAAACATGTTCTCACTATAAGACTTAGACAATTAATTTTCTTACTCTAAAGGATTTTACAGTCAATTTAAAAAACGCTGTTGTCGACCATCTCAAGCCTACGCAACTGAACCGAAAGGAACTCTGGGTAGTAATCATTGAAGCCGAGTTGACTGCAGTAATTTTGTTCGACTAGTTATACCTGGTTTACAGCACGAACCTTCATGGCAAGCAGGAATTGTTGAAGGCGACGTTTTGTTAATGCATTTATATTTTTTAAATTGTGAACTGAATTATAACTACTTTGTTTTTCTTTCCCTAAACCCAAAGACATACACTTAATGGATTGTTTCTCTCCATTATTATCTTTACTACTAGCGGGACAAATAATTCAAAATGAATATTTAACCGCTTCAGTGATGTTTACCCATATTCGCTTTCGGTCCAGTCGTGTAGGCTTGAGTYGGTCAACAACAACGTTTTTTGAATTGACTGTATACAAATTGGAATGCAAAAACAAAAAAACATCACCAACTGAGCAAAGCATGACCGGCCCTAATGACTGGCCCTAAGCATTTTTGGAGCTTGAAAGAACAAGGCAAATGTGACAGGTCTAAACTGTTKTCAACTTTCCTTGCTTCCAATCAAAATTCACAGCTTGTGGCAAATAAATATTTTYCTATTTATTTTAATCTTCTTCCTACTAAATTTCCAAGCTCTAGAAAAGTTCCATATTTTTATTCTCAATGTCAACATTAAAGAAATATTAAAATCCTACAGCACATAGATCAAACACTCAATGATATAACAATATTTCAGCCCACACACAGAGAGGTATAATGACAGTACTACCTTTGCTGTTTAATATTTATAAGGGTGGACGATTCTAATGTTTTCATGTTTTCAAACATTTCAAAATAATCCAAAAATCTTATCAGTTGAACTACACTATTTGCACATTTAACTTTWAATTTCCTTTACGATTACTTAAAAAGAAAAAAAACAATTTATTTCGCTATTTTTTTACCGCTAAACTAATTGTGTGCAATAAAAATTAAAGCTTTTTTTGACTACTGTCGTAAAATATAAACCAAAAGCTGTTCAACCAAATTTCTGGGAACCATTTTCCACTACAGAATAGATTCAACATGAGAGGATTTCACTTTAAGGGAACTTTTAAAATTAAAATTACTATTTTCAGATTAATTTAGTCGATGTTCATAAAAAAAATTAAGATGTAATCTGCGTACAATACCTTAGCTGTTTCGATGTCCGGGTGAATTATAAGTCTCTCTCCGCTTTCCTTTCCATTTACCGATTCATAAGAACTCTCACTKACACTCTCGGCATCACTCCCTGCATCACTGTCACTCGCCTTGTTCGACTCAGAGTCTAAAAGACAAGTTTCTTGGTTGACATTTTCTTCTTGAGTTTCTTCTTCGTCTTTCGTTTCCTCATTCAATTTTTCATCACCGTCTTCATCGTTGTTTGGCTCCTGTCTCGCCACAGATTCTTCAACGACAATTTCCTCTTTACTTCCTTGGGAAGAAGAGTCTGAGTACCAACCACCTTCGATGGTAACGCTTCCAGTATCACATAAATCCTCTTCGCTATTCATCTTGTTACTGGTTCTTCTTCTTCTCAAGTTGTACGTATGTCCTTCGGCCATCGACTGCGAGGGCCTGAGCGTATGACGCTTTCTTATTGTCTTCAAAACACGCAATCACGATCAAAATGGAAATACTAAGACTTTGCAACGACACCTGCTGTTACTACAAAACTCTGTGGATGCAATAAGATTCAAGACTTGAAATCAAATGTCCGACAATAGTTTTAAAATTGGTAGAAAGTAAGATCAAAAGTCTTGAAGTAAAATCAATCCTTGCACGAGGTCAACTACGACAACTCCCGAACGAACCGAACAACCTAGACTGACGTGTTTTGACAGCTAATTATCCAATTACAGCTGGCGTAGTATCACTTTTGATCGGTTAACGCATAATTTCAATCAGTATTACCCAATCAATAAGCTCGTTATATTCATAAAAAACGTCAGCTGATCTGTGGGATGTTATCGGTTCAAAGTCCAGGAATTGTAATAGGGGAGGGGTGGTAGAGAATACGTACAGGACTACAATGCATTGATAGAAACTGGTAGAGCAAAAACACACCGCAAGAGGGAGACAAAACTATTATTATTTTCATACAAAAAGAAAAAGGAAGTTATGGAAAAATGCTAAGCATTTCTTAAGAGGGATGGGGCCAGTTTTGGGAGCATTGCCTTCTGAAACCCCTGACTCCTAAACCCCCATGCACACAGTATAACTTCATGGCTTCAAATTGTTTTCTTTAGTATTCAGCATACCATTTTTTTTAGAAAACTTGTTAGTAATAATAATAATAATAATAATAATAATAATAACAACTTTATTAGACAGGGTAACACCGTTACCATAAATGATAATTT